CACAGCAGGATCCTCTCATCCAGGGCATCTTTACAGAAACCCCACATGGATGATCCCTGAATTCCTGGATGAAATCCATGTGGGAAGGCAGAGTTGTTGCCATGCCTCCAGAGGCTTTTCTATATCCTAGCAGGGAATTAAAAACAGGAGTGAAATAAGGTTTATTTTTAGGATTCTGTCTCACTTCACTGTTCCTGTGCAGTCAGAGGGATTGGGAATAATTGGAATATTGGGATATTCCCACTGAGTTTTCCAGCTGTGTGTGCACAGCCCTGCACAGGAGAGGATTTAAAAAAGAAATCCCTTTGTTTGTGGGGTTGGAATTCCTGGGAAGCAGCTCAGTGTGTGGGAGCTGGGGGAGGCCTGGCATTCAGCTCCGTGTCCTGGGAATTTGGGGTTCTCTCCCAGTGTTCCCTGGGAATGACTCTGATCAGGAGTGCCCTGAAATTCCTGGGTAATTGGGCAACCAGGGCAAGGTGGAAGGAACTGAGATTTAAATGCCTTCTAGGCCAAATTCTATGGGAAAAACTCAAACCAAACCACACAAATCCTGACTCCATGGCTTGTTTTCCTTCTCTTTTCCCTCTGGAAGTTCTGGGAATTTCCTGCCTACTGTGTGCTCTGAAATTCCTGGTTAATTCGGCAGCCAGGCCAGTGGAAGGAGCTGAGCTTGAAACCCGTTCCAGGCCAAATTCTGTGGGAAAACCTTAAACCAAATCACACAAATCCTAAATCCTTGACTTTTTCTCTTTCTCCTTTCCCCCTGCAGCACTGGGAATTTACCCCCAACAGCGTGCTCTGAAATTCCTGGGTAATTTGGCAGCTAAACCATTAAAGGCTGGAAGGTGGAAGGAGCTGAGCTTGAAACCTGTTCCAGGCCAAATTCTGTGGGAAAAACTCAAACCAAACCACACAAATCCTGAATCCTTGGCTTGTTTTCCATCTCTTTTCCCTCTGGAAGCTCTGGGAATCTCCTGCCTACTGTGTGCCCTGAAATTCCTGGGTAATTCGGCAGCCAGGCCAGTGGAAGGAGCTGAGCTTGAAACCTGTTCCAGGCCAAATTCTGTGGGAAAAACTCAAACCAAACCACACAAATCCTAAATCCTTGGCGTGTTTTCCTTCTCCTTTCCCCCTGCAGCACTGGGAATTCACCCCCAACAGCGTGGTTAATTCCTCAACTAGGCCATTAATGGCCGGAAGAGGGAAGGTGGAAGGAGCCGAGCTTGAAACCCATTCCAGGCCAAATTCTGTGGGAAAACCTTAAACCAAACCGCACGAATCCTAAATCCTTGACTTTTTTTTCTTTCTCCTTTCCCCCTGCAGCACTGGGAATTCGCCCCCAACAGCGTGCACTACCTGCTGAGCCTGTGGCAGCGCCTGGCTGCCTCGGTGCCCTACGTCAAGGCCACGGAGCCGCACATGCTGGAGACGTACACGCCCGAGGTGACCAAGGCCTACATCACCTCCCGCCTGGAATCCGTGCACATCATCCTCAGGTGAGCCCTCACAGCTCCTCCTGCCTGCCCAGGCTGTGGAAAATTGGGAAAAATGAGGCTGTTCCTCGTTTTGGTTAATTTGGTTACCGGGCTGGTAATGATTGGAAGGTGGAAGGAGCTGAGCTTTGAATACGTTCCAGGCCGAGTTCTGTGGGGAAAAGTTAAATCAAACCACACAAATCCTGACTGCCTGAGTTGTTTTCCTTCTCTTTTCCCTCTGGAAGTTCTGGGAATTTCCTGCCTACTGTGTGCCATGAAATTCCTGGTTAATTTGGCAAACTAGGCCATTAAATGCCAGTGGAAGGAGCTGAACTTTAAATAAGTTCCAGTACAAACTCTGTGGGAAAAACTTAAATCAAACCACACAAATCCTAAATCCTTAGCTTGTTTTCAATCTCTTTTACCTCTGGAAGTTCTGGGAATTTGCTCCCTATTGTGTGCTCTGAAATTCCTGAGTAATTTGGCAACCAATGAAAGGTGGAAGGAACTGACCTAAAATGGATTTATTTGGGAGAAAATGGATTTATTTGGGAGGAACTGTCGCTCTTCCCAACCCGAAGCATTCCAGGATGCTGTGAATTCCACCATGCAGCTCCCACAGGCAGAGCAGGGATTGCTGGCACTCCCTGCTCCATTTTCCATGTCCTTTTTGCAGGGATGGCCTGGAGGACCCTCTGGAGGACACGGGGCTGGTGCAGCAGCAGCTGGACCAGCTGTCCACCATCGGGCGCTGCGAGTACGAGAAGACGTGTGCGCTGCTGGTGCAGCTCTTTGACCAGGCTGCCCAGTCCTACCAGGAGCTGCTGCAGAGTGCCAGTGCCAGCCCCATGGACCTGGCTGTGCAGGAAGGTCAGGGAATCCCATAAATACCATCCCAAATTCCATAGATCCCATCCCATGGATCCCATCCCATCAGAGTGCCAGCGCCAGTCCCGTGGACCTGGCTGTGCAGGAAGGTCAGGGAATCCCATAAATCCCATAGATCCCATAAATCCCATCCCATGGATCCCATTCCAATCCCATCCCATCAATCCATCAATCCCATCCCATAAACCCCATCCCATCCTATCCCGTCCCAAAGTCTCATCAATCTCATCAATCTCATCAGTCCTGTGTGTTATCCCCAGGCCGCCTGACGTGGCTCGTGTACATCAGCAAAGTCCATAAATCCCATCCCATAGATCTCATCCCATCAATCCCATGGATGTCATACCATCAATCCCATTGATCCCATCAATCCCATAAATCCCATCAATTCCCATGTATTATCCATCCCCAGGCCACCTGACGTGGCTCGTGTACATCATCGGCGCCGTCCATAAATCCCATCCCATCAATCCCATAGATCCCATCCCATGGATCCCATCAATCCCATTGATCCCATCAATCCCATTGATCCCATCAATCCCATAAATCCCATCAATCCCATGTATTATCCATCCCCAGGCCGCCTGACGTGGCTCGTGTACATCATCGGCGCTGTCATCGGTGGCCGCGTGTCCTTTGCCAGCACGGACGAGCAGGACGCCATGGACGGAGAGCTGGTGTGCAGGTGAGCTCCTCACCCTGGAATTCCAGGAAAATCCACACCTGGAAAAACGGGAACGGCTCAGTGGGGTTTGTCCAGGTCTGGTTCCGGTGGGAAATGAGGTTGGATAAGGGATGGGTGGGGCAGGGAGTGAGGGGAAAGAGCAGGGAAATGGGAATTGGTCATGGGTTATTGGTTGTGGGAAATGCTGGGAATTATTGGGAATGCTGAGAATTATTGGGAATACTGGACATGGAAATATTGGGAATTCTTAGGAATATTTGACTTGGGAATATTGGGAATTCTTTGGAGTATTGGATTCATGAATAATGGGAATATTTGTCTCGGAAATACTGGGAATTATTTGGAATATTTCCTCCCATTTCTCTCATTCTCCCTCACTTTTCCCCTCCTATCCCCTCTTTTCTTGGCCCCTTTTCTCCCCATTTCCCCCCAATTTCCCCCCATTTCCCCATTCCCCGTTTCAGGGTGCTGCAGCTGATGAACCTGACGGACTCGCGCCTGGCGCAGGCGGGCAATGAGAAGCTGGAGCTGGCCATGCTCAGCTTCTTCGAGCAGTTCCGTAAGATCTACATCGGGGACCAGGTGCAGAAATCCTCCAAGGTGAGAGCCCACAGTTCCACAATTCCCAAAATTCCCACAATTCCCGTGTTTGCCCGGGAATACCGGCCCTGCTCTGGTCACTCGTTGGTGTGTGTTGGTGTTAATGCAGTTAAATCTCATTTTCTGGGAGTAAATCCTCCTTTTAAACCTCATTTTCTGAGATTAAATCCTCATTTTACCTGCAATTCAGTTCCATTTCCTGAGAGTTCTCCTGGAATTAAATCTCGTTTTCTGGGATTTTTCTTTTTTTTAAATGTCTTTTTCTGAGATTAAATCATCACCTAACCTGCAATTCAATTCAGTTTATTGAGAGTTCTCCTGGAATGAAATCCCATTTTCTGGGATTTTTCCTCCTATTAAATCTCATTTTCTGGGATTTCTCCTGGAGTTAAATCCCATTTTTGGTGATTTTTCCTGTGAATTCCAGAGAAATCCCATTTTTGGGGGATTTTTTAGGAATTTTCCTCAATGCAGAATGATGCTGCTAGGCCAGAAAAAAAAAAAAAAAAAAGGGGGAAAAAAAAATCAGAATTCTTAACATTTAGATCAAACCAAACACCCCATGGGAAAATCCCACAATTTCCCATTTCCCACGGAGGGCAGAGTGGATTTTTTGGGATCATTCCCAGATTTCCTGGTGGGTTTGGAGCCTTTTTTTCCATGTTTTTTTTGTTTTGGTTTGGTTTTTTTTGGCAGCTGTACAGGAGGCTCTCGGAGGTGCTGGGGCTGAACGATGAGACCATGGTGCTGAGCGTCTTCATTGGCAAAATGTGAGTGGAATTCCAGGAATTTTGGGAATTTTCAGCTGGAAAATTGAGCTCAAGGGGTTGGGAATTCTGGGTGATCCAGGGAAAGGTTTTGTGGGAACCGGGTTGGGGTGGAGTTTTACAAATGGCATCAAAATTCTGTCAAAATTCCACACAAATTCCACACAAATTCCACAGAAATTCCCAAAAAATTCCACCAAAAAAATCCACTTACTAAATGCCAAAGGTTCCACACAATTTACACTGAAATTCCAGAAATTCTACCACAATTTTACAGAAATTCCACCAAAATTCCATCAAAAAAATTTCCCATATTGCATCAAAAAAATTCCACACGAATTCCACTGAAATTCCACCAAAAAAATTCCACACAAATTCCACCAAAAAAATTCCACACAAATTCCACCAAGGTTACACCAAAATTCCACCAAAAATCCAAAGAAATTCTACACGAATTCCACCAAAATTCCATCAAAATCCATTTTATCAATTTTTTAATCCGTTTTTATCCATTCTTTCATCCATTTAATCCCCCAGAATTCCGGGTGCACTTTGACATCCTGGATACCCAAATGCAAATTTTCCCAGCCAAACACAATCCCGCTGCTTTTATTCCCATTTTTGTGCCTCTGTGCCTGACTGGAGGGAGACAAAAAACCTGGAAAAATCTGCCAGAATTCCCAGGAAAATCCCAAAAAAGATCCAGGAAAATCCCTCTGATCCTTGTTTTTCCTTCCCCAGCATCACCAACCTGAAGTACTGGGGCCGCTGTGAGCCCATCACCTCCAAGACTCTGCAGCTGCTCAACGACCTCTCCATTGGATATCCTTTTGGGAAGAGCTCCCAAAATTCCTGGGAAAAGGGAGGAGTGATCCCAGAACTCTGCTGGAATGGCAGCTGGAGCAGATTCCTGCTTTTTTTTTCCCCCCCACCCCTGGAATTTTGGGAATGAGGAGAGCAGAGGGTGGGGATGAGGCTCAGGGAATGTTGGGTTTTGTTTTGTGGGTCAGAGTTCCCTCCCTTGGAGTTGGGTGTCAGAATCCAGGCAGGCTTCTGTATTTCCAGGGATTCCAGAATTTCCAAGAATTCCAGGATTTCCAGAATTTCCAGGAATTCCACAGGTTCCAGACTCAGAGCTTTTCTCCCAGGGCTCTCCCCAAGCCGAGATTTGCACACTTAGATTTGTCCTTGAAAAAACAGGAGAGAATTCCCAATTTATGGAATAATCCAGGCACAATCCTCATCTCCCAGCCTGGACCTGGAAGTGATTTTCCAAGAATTCCAGAAATTCCAGGAATTCCACAATTTTTCCTCAATTTTTCCCCAGTGATCACTGAGGGTCTCCCCAAACTGAACTTGCACAATTCATCTTATCTTTGAAACAAACAAAAATTCCCAATTTTCCTGAATACTCCAGGCCCAATCCCATTTTTCCAGCCCATCCCTGGAAATGTTTTTCCAGGAATTCCAGAAATTCCACAAGTTCCAGACCCTGACTTCTCCCAAAGCATCTCCCCAAGCCGACACTTGCACAATTCATCTTATCTTGGAAACAAACAAAAATTCCCAATTTCCTGAATACTCCAGGCCCAATCCCGTTTTTCCCACCCATCCCTGGAATTGTTTTCCTGGGAATTCTGGGAATTTTGGGAATTCTGCTGCTTCCTTGACGCCCTGCACCTACAGCAGCGTGCGGAAGCTGGTGAAGCTCAGCGCCGTGCAGTTCATGCTCAACAACCACACGGTGAGCCCCACCTCATTCCCAGGAAAAATTCCCACTCCTGGATGATCCCTTTGGAATTCCATCTTCTCCCTGAGTTCCTGTGCTGTTGGAGGAGCCTCTGGAAAATGAGATTTTTGGAGGGGGAGGTTGTGTTGGAATTTTTGGGGGTTTTGAGGAGTTGGGGTTTGGTGGCGCTCCCCATTCCCGAAGGATTTCTGCTCTCCGTGGAATCCAGGCTCATTCCCAGAGAATTCCCAGGTTTGGAGCAGCCTGGGATTGTGGGAGGTTGGGATTTGAGGTCGGGATTTCATCCTGTGGTGCTCCCAAGGCACTTTCAGAGGGAACGAGGGGGAATTCCTGGAGTTCAGGGAGGTTTTCCAGGCAATTCCAGGATGATTTCCAGGCATTCCTGTAATAATTTCCCAGGCATTGCCAAGAGGTTTCCCAGGAATTCTCAGAGTTCCCAAGAGGTTCTCCTGGCATTCCCAGGAGGTTTTCCAGGAATTCCTGGATTCAGGGATGATTTTCCCTTTTCCAGAGCGAGCACTTTTCCTTCCTGGGAATCAACAACCAGTCCAACCTGACGGACATGCGCTGCCGCACCACCTTCTACACGGCCCTGGGCCGGCTCCTCATGGTGGATTTAGGTGATTCCCGGGAATTCCAGCATTTTGGGACCCAGGATTTGGGATTTGGGGAGGTGGAGCCTGGTCAGGAAAGGGGCTTGGGGTGGGAGAAGGAGAATCGGGAATTGAGAATTGGGAATTGGGGTCGATGCTGAGAATAAAAATGGGGAGATGTTTTCCCATCCTAAAATTTGGGATCAAATTTTTCCATCCCAGCAAGATTGAGGGGTTAATTTTTTCATCCCACCAAAACTGGGAATAAATTTTCCAATCCCACCAAGATTTGAGGCCAATGTTCTCATTCCAGGAGAGGATTTGGAATAAATTTTTCCCATCCCACCAAGATTTAGGGATAAAATTTCTCATCACAAAATTTGGGATCATTTTTTTTCCAGGGGAGGACGAGGATCAGTACGAGCAGTTCATGAGGGGATTTCCCATAGATTTTCCATGGAATTCCCATGGATTTTCCATGATGTTTTCCAGGGGAGGACGAGGATCAGTACGAGCAGTTCATGCTGCCCCTCACCGCTGCCTTCGAGACCGTGGCTCAGATGTTCAGCACCAACTCCTTCAACGAGCAGGAGGCCAAGGTCAGCCAGGAGGGAATTCCCGCTCTTCTGGGATCTTTTCCATGGGATTGAGGTCCAGAGGGAATTGGGATCAATCCAAAGTGAATTGGGGGTGTCTGAATCCCTTGGGATCAGTTTCGTGGGATTTGGGATCGGGTGTGCTCTGGAATGGCGACGCCTGAATTTTACTCTATTTTATTCTTCTGTTTCATTGTAATTTTTATTTGATTTTACTGTGTTCCCATCCTGGCTTTCCTGTTCCCGGTTATCCTGTTCCCATTCCCGATTAACCCGTTCCCATTCCTGGTTATTCCATTCCCATTCCTGTTCCCAT